TTTTCAAGAACTGTGAGGACATACTAATTTTACCTTTTCAATACATAATTAACTACTGTTTCTCCTATGGGTGCTGCCCCACCCCCTGGCTGTGTAGCTACCTACTCCCGATTTATAAGGGTAAAGGCCTCCTTACAGTTCCTGATTCATATAGAGGTGTTGCTTTACTTTCATGTGCCCTTAAATGCTATACTTACATTTTAAATAGAAGGATTTTGTCTTGGGCAGAGGATAATGACCTATTGCATCCCCAGCAGCGTGGCTTCCGCAGCGGCAGATCGACCGGCAGTGCAGTCGAGGAGCTCCATACCAAGATCCATGAAGCCCTTGCTTCCCCAAGATTGCCATTATATGTAGCCTTTGTTGACTTTAGGAGGGCCTTCGACTGCATTGACCGGTCACTTCTTCTGCGAAAGCTATTTGACATGGGGTTATCTCACAAAATGCTAAGAGCCGTCTGGTCTGTTATATCAATTAACTACATAGAGATCATGTCCAATAGCTCATTAAGTAGGAAGGTGCCTCAGATTAAAGGACTCACACAAGGTGACTGCCTCTCGCCTCTACTATACATTCTCTTTACGGCCGATTTGCCACAATGGATCGAAGCTGATGGTTCCTGTACAACTTTGTTGTACGCTGACAACCTGGCGATTTGCTCTAATGAGTCACCTGAGTTACATTCTGCACTCAATAGGCTTTTTAATTATTGTAAATAAAACATACTAACAGTCAATACGGATAAGACTAAAATTGTTAAATTTAGAAGAGGAGGGCGACTGCGTAAGGACGATGTTATATTGTATAATGGAAATCAGATTGAGTTTGTTTCGAGCTTCACATACCTAGGTGTTGTCCTGATGACAAAGTGTGGAGTTAGTGGACACATTGACCATTTAAAAAAGAAGGAAATTCCGCTTGCGCGAGATTGGCCATCAATATGCCTCTAGCTCGCATGACATTAGAATCTCTGGAACGTCTGTTTCTCTCGGTAGTCGTACCTTCTGCCACATACGGTATCTCCGCGCTCGTTAACAGACTTACCGCGGAGGATTTTTACTTTCTAACGACAGTTCAATGCCGCTTGCTTAAATTTTGGTGGGGTATCTCAAAGTTCGCCTCATCCATCCATATTCTAGAAGCCTCTGGATGGCTTGTTGCGGGGCCATTGATAAAGACACATTTTTGCGAAGGAGCCCCTCTAGCTTCTATTACCTCTCCAGTTCGGCGCCGTTCCCCTTCAGTGGAACTAACGGGGTCTCACAGGAAGGTATGGGGGAGATGGTTAGGCACAGCCTTCCACTCGCTTTGGTGCTATAAGCGTTCATGCTTCCATCTCAACTGCGACTGCAGGTGTAGATTATGTGGTTCCGCAGAGATCCTCCAGCGCGAACACCTACTACAATGTGAGTGGCTTGTAGGGGACTTTGTCTCCTTTGACGCTTCGGCTCTTCTAAATTTGGAGAGAGCGTTAATTGCTACCCTGCAATGGGTTGAAAAAAAAATAAAAAATAAAAAAAAATAATAATAATGATCGAT